AGTTTGCTCTTTCTTCTTTATGCCTCTGCTCTTCATCTGCTTTTCATTCACTAGGAGCCCCTAAATCAATTGCTTTTCTACCTTATCACACTCCCCTATTCCAGACTTCTCTACCTCATGTCTGAGGCCACATTTGCTTCTTAGGAAGGAATTTTGTACAAGGTACTACTCTCCTGGCTTCTAATCCCTTCACACAGATGTTAGCAGACTTTGCTCTTCATTTGGCTGGCCACCATGTGGTCCAACACCATGTAGGAGACTGACACTTTGCTTTGGTGAAGGCCTCTTTGACTTCTCCCTCCGAAGATTTCTTCCCTCTTGGCTTCAAGCAGCTCCTAATCACCACATCTTGACAAAAACACCTTACTTAACCTCTTCCCAAATCCTGCCTTTCATGGCTCAGAGGGAAGCTCAACTTCCCTTCTGCCTGCTTTCTCCACCACCCACTCACTCCTCAAACACATACGATATGGTTTCTCTTCCCAGCACTCCATGGAAACTGCTCAGAGGTCCCCAGTGGCCTGGCCCTGGCCAATTCCAATGGTCTGCTCTATATTTTCCTTTGTTGATTGCACAGCTGTTTGTCAGTTGCCTTTCCCACCCCATCTGTCTTGTTTTTCATCACCTGCCATTTCTCCCTGAGTCTTTTGACCCCTTGAACTTTTTTTTCCACATTTGCTAATTCCTAACTTAACCTGTTTCCCATCTGTAGCTACTCATTTCTTCCTGCTGCCCTCACAAAGGATTGTATTTCTGCACTCTGTTCATTTAGTCATTCTTTCTTGGTTTTCTTCAAATATTTCTTGTTTGGGCCTCCTAGATGACAGGCAATGAGGATACATAGGGGAAAAAGGGAAACAGCACACTTTAGGGATTACGACCTTGGATTTGATGGGTCAAATTCCAGGTCTTCCATTTACCAGATTGTGACCCTAGCCAAGTTATTAAACCTCTCTCTGTTCCAGCTTCATCATTGAAATAACAGTAATAATAATAGCATCTAGGATTGTTTTGAAGATTATATGAACTAA